AGGAAGCATGCTTGCACATGTCATTCGCCGCCTGCATGTAAAAATGTGAATTTCTAACCTCCTTCTTCTATGTAGGTGTATTACAATCGGGGGCTCGCCCTTTTACGTGAGTTTATTAGGCATCAGCTAACACCATACATCTCCAAGGTCGTCTTTCTATCTGTCAAACAAATTTGGTATTTTCCTTAACTTAACCAGCCTATCTTATCCACCAACAATGCCTAAATTTTAAGGCATGTTTCATTAAGGAATAAACCAGAGCATATTTGCAACTACTTTCGGTGCAGTGGCAGGGAATTTGACATTTCTACACTACCGCCGAAACCAGTGTTGGTGGTCCGCACAAAAAAGCATCTAATTTAAATTCAACGATTGAATTCACGGACAAAACAGTGGCAATAAGTTCCCCACTTGGTTGTACTTCACTAATGTTAGTATTGTGGTGGCTACAAGATGACGTTCAAGGTATTATCCATAAACGAATGATGTCGGGTTGATATATGCGTGTGATTAGCATTCTGGACACATGACCATTGGTAAAATTCAATACGATGATTGCTGCTTGGAGGAAGTCCTTTTTAGAATTCGATATTAATCAGAAAATCAGTATAAATTCTCCCTGAATATGCTCTCATATTTCTTCCTATTTTTATGAAAAGCCAGCTAGATGGTGATTTAGAAAAACTTTAATGAAAGCTGTTGGTAATAGAAAGATGAAAAAATATTCATCTGTTCTACCGTGAAAAAAATGTAGCAAAGCTGGCCAAAACTGGTCATCTCACGTGGACACGTTTTAATGTTTATTAGTGAATTTTATGACGAAAAACATTGGTATTAGAATAAAACTCATGAATATTGTAAGCCCATAAATTACTCTAAACTCCACTCTTCTAAAGTCCGAAAGTGATCAGCATTTGATTGTCTAAGTTGTTGCGCTTGTGTTCGAGTTGCTTTCTGAAATTGGTAAATCTGTTGCCAACCTCAGTGTATAATTTGAGCGCGCCAGGTAATAAATGACGACATTTGAGAGAAAAGGCTGCTACGATCAGTTAGAGAAATTTCTCAAAAGAACTGAACTAATCTTACTACGAAAGGAAAGCCATGCCTATTTTGATTCCTGGTTTATTACTACATTGTTTGTTGAGCAACATTTATTTTACTTGGATCGCGATTATCACAGATCTTTCCGTTCGCCTATAAGCGCACGACGTCATTAGCATATATATACAGATGGTTTTATTTTAATTCTGATGTATGAATCTGTTCACTGCACGCAACACCCAAAAGGGTTTCCATAAATTTGCGTTACGGTTGGGCTGTCTAAAATACTGGGGTTCGCTAGGCAAATGGATCCAGATTTTCAATGAGTCATTGGTTTCTTATCAAACAGTGAATGAATTTCCGAAACATTATCTACAAATCGTGAACGTTAGCAATAAAACTGATTACTCTGTTTTCTTGAATGAGTATTAAACAAACATATATAGGTAAACATCGTTCCCGCTATCTCTGTTTAGGAAAGTTTGGTCTTCTGTTTGCGGCCACCATTTTAGCAGTAATAAGGTTGTTAACTAAAGAATTTAATCGGCCATCACTTTCAACCACCTTTAACTACGTTCACCTTTATTTAATCGCCTGGTTTTCAAAGTGACAGCCTTTTTTACAATACTACACTGACGGGATAGGTTGAGTAGATAAGTACAGTAACTTCATGAATATTAATAAGCAGTGAGGTTATATCAGCTGTGAAATTTGCAGATCAAGTACGCAAATGCTTCAGCCAGGTAAATAGCTTGTTTGAAGCATTTTTGATATTTTGCAATATTACGGTGTTTTTTTATATATAGCATATAGGTGACGCGAATTTTGTAGCAAAGCGATCACATATTTCTATTGGTTTACTTCTAAACTTGATATAAGAAGAGGCTTCATCAAGGAGAGTTTGTTTATCATGGGAACGGTGCGCCTACAATGTAGTGTCTCAATGGCTGTCTCAGCTGTATGTGCTACACAAAGGGTGCCTCAAGTTCCAGCTGGTACAAGGTTCAAGATATCGCAGCATATTTTCACAGAAGAAATTACTCAAAGTTTTGCTGAAAACTCTGTGACTGCCCTCCGGCCGGTTGCACCCTTCTTGGCGCTCTGTAGGTAAGCGCAGTCCTCTGGTTACCGTCAACCTTGTGTTTTACTTAAACCCAAATTGGATAGATCTTGCCAAATACAATCATGTGCATTCAAGCTAGCTTTTAACGAGAGGATAAACCGACACGCTGTTTTACGGTATTATTCAACTGAATGTGCTGTACATTAGCTGCCTCATGTTTCAGTGGATACTCATAGCCTTGTTTTATGATTTTAGAAACCTTTGCCTCTGCCAAATTTTCCACCAGTGCATTACTTCCTTGGAGCCAGGGTGAGTCGCTTTGTGTTCGGTTTGTTGTTACTGCAGGCATATATTCTTTCAGTTGATTGTACAAATATATTGAAGCTTTTGTTTGTTGCGTTAATGACAGTCTCAAGAATTCTGATTTTCATTCTACAGTTAACTAGATTTTGTTTTTTTTCAGTTGGCGTACTAAAATATTCAGTGTACAGTCAACAGTGCGGCTTTTTTACTCACATCCATGTGTTATATAATTGGTGGAGACAACTGTTTGATTCGACCAAAGTTTTCTGGGTTTTTAAGAGGCAACCTCTCACTCTTAAGAAGTGAAATTATTCATTGTTGTTCAATATAACCCGTACACTTGCATTTTATTTTGCAATGCCAGCGTTGCCTTTGTATCGACAACTCATTTGCTCACTGAAGCATGGTATTGGGAAGATATAGTGTGCCAAAAATATTGTAACCAGTTTTTCATGAACTTGCAGTAAAATTCGGACTGCTGTCTCTATAAACCATTTCAAATAAGATAATTAATCACTCTTTTTGTAGCTAAGTACAGATTCTAAAATGCAGAAATCGTAGAACCTTCTTAAGGGTGCAAAACTCTAGTTAAATCACTTGGACCTAAGCGTCGGCCATTTTTCCTCTTGTCAGTACAAACAAGTAGCTGAGTAGTAATTGTTTACATTTACCTAAAACGTTACTCTCAAAGGTTCTCATCCGATCTTCAATTAATTAACGGCATTGATGAATCTATTTTCAATAAACGAAGGCTTCGAATTGTCACAAACTGAATTCACTGATTAGGTTGTGTGGACAAAAATATGGCTAGGTAAACCCCGACTCCTTCGGCTTGCGTTCCGTAGATGATTTCGAAAAAGGTGAACGTCAAATAACCCATCGTAGAAATGTAGCCAAAATAGGTCTTTGTTCGCGGAAGATGAAAGCACCTACCATGACCGAACAGGCGTTGGGTTCAGTGCAGATATCCACATATATAAATTGTCATTCAAAAGAAAACTCACTTTAGATGGCCATCTTTGGACTGGTTTTGTCAGCTGATGTCCCCCGCAAATGCAACTTAATCGAGTATATTCCATGTCCCGGTTCGCTCGGTCTCCTTTAAACACTTTAAACGTCAGAACATACGAAAAATATTGTTTCCAGAGATCAAACTAATTTGGTAGATTCACTCATAACATACGTAACCGTCATCTGTGTATACTCGAAATTCGGTGGCCGATTATTGAGGAGAGGTTTGCGCTCAATGTACCATTTCTTCTGGATGCTCCGGCCAAATTTTCGGATTCTTTTTAGCGATGTTTCTAATTTCATGCCACGTTGTTCGCTGCTCATTTTCCCGTTGCTCTAGCTAATTATTTTCACTCTAATTTTCCACCGATAATGGTTTCCACCCACATGAGTCTTGGTTTTGTTCTTTTCACAAGCGCTCATTAGTGACGTCAAATTAAAAATGCACATTTCGGCTACTGAGCACTGAACACTCTGTAACAATTCTGAGTCTGCTAGTGTTTGGTAGGTTAAGCTGGATATATGGCATTACTTCTCTTGCTGTATGGCCCAAGTTGCAGTAGACGGTAATCCAATAAACGGTTGATAAACATCATACCCAGACAGTAGTGATACCAATGCGAACTAATCAGTACGAGATTCATCTTTTTGTTGGTGCATCTTACACTGCGATCGATCAGTTGAATTAATGTGAGCAGTGTATAGTGAAACGCCTCAAAATTACCGTCATTTTCGGGGTATCACCTATTAGGAGATCTTGTAGAGGTAAACGCAGTAGAAACTTTTATTATCATGTTACCGAAATACATAAAACCTGCATGTGAAATTCTCCTGTGAATCCTAGCAGAGACAGTTGACTTTTGAAATTGTCTGAAAAGTTTGTACGAGGACTCCAACATATATACCACTGGGTTAAGAGGAAGTGATTTGAGCCGGGGTGTCAAGCAATTTTTGTTGGGAAAAAATAAAAATATTCATTTTACATTTTTTTACAAACGGGAGCTTATAAAAGAGCCACGTAAACCAAGTGGGTGTGTTATTTCGGAACGGGGTTAAATGAGCGTACGGCTTCAAAGGGACAAAGATTTGCAAGCAGACCCCTGGTAGCCACCTTTATCTTCGGGCAGAGATCTTTCTATCAGTGTCATTCAACGACACGGTGTTGCGTTACGTGCCTAGAAATTATCCATATCGTTTTGTTGATGAGCGATGCATGGTACAAAACCTGCATTTCATTTGGCTCATAACCTAGCATTGCAACGCTGATGGTGCAATATTGCTGTCACGATAAGGTCGTTGGTGCCTGATTAGTTCTGCCAAACGCTTCCCAATTCACTAAAACGCTAGTCAAACATAGCTGACCATGGCTAATAAGGCTTAAAAAAGCAATTGTGATTCGCAACTTTCAGTAACTGAGATATTCCATCAAAAGGCTTTCAAGTACTAAGCAAGAAAGTAAAACCCTATGGCATTCTGAACGGTCGTATTTAATGCCTTCACTTCTCCATCCAGCCAGTTCATATCCAAACAGATAGAGGTTTTTGAAAAGACGGCGAAATTATGTTTACTGTGTTCAATTTCATGAATTACAGCTTTCCCCGGTTTGTATTGAATAACGATACATGCATATTCGTGGAAAATAACTGATATACCGATGGATTTGCAAGTGATTCTCTGAGATGTTATTACTTTATGTATTGGTTGCTTGACACAATGGGAGATGTGTCGTTTGAAACTGTAGAACTTACACATTTGTCGTAGTCCTTGTGACTAATGAGTTGAACAAGACGCTCATCAAATGGATCCAAGTAAACGGGGCATTTCAAAAACGTAGGGTCATCCGCTGTTTTCTTCAGGAAGTCCTGTTGATAAACAACGCGTGAGGTGATCGGACTTGGTTCCCGATGGATGTGCACAGGATAGGTAATTACCTCCACCGATTGACAACGCTTGCGTTGGTCAAGTCGCTCACTATCCATGACAGTGCCAGAGTTTTCTTGTGGGTTTATTTGAAACTGCATTGCATTTGTTATGCTTCCAGGTGATTTCGTCTCCAACTGAATGACGCATTTATCATCGCCCCCGTTCGTGCGTACCTGTTGATCTAATGGCAGGAAATTCGGAGGCCATGCGTCGATTTCATTGTGCACTGTAATGAAGAAATATTTTACTTGCATCAGAATTGTACTTCATCGACTATATTTCTACAAACACGTGAAAATGGGAAAATGTGAGAGCGGTTAACTTTCGTATGTGCCCAAAATTAAGATCAAATGCAAAAATCTATTGCATATCCCATTCAGGTTTAACCTGGGCTGGCGTAATTATACAAAAATTAGAACGACAATGTGGTACGTAAAGTTAGTATGAAGAGCAGTGCTCAACCGAGAGTTTTCGCTTTCGCACTGTGCGTTTGGGACCATGTTGTACAGTAAGATCAATTTAAACTTCGTTATATACCTCTGGAGCACAATAAGCTCAACATGTTACTGCGAAGTGTTTTCGAGCGATACCTAACAAATGGTTCGAATATTTGGCCCGAGGTTTATTTAGGAATGACAGCTTTGGATTTCAACGTTATGCACTCCTCTCCTGGTGCAACGAGGAATATGACCGTTTAATGCACCATTCGAATGTCTCTCAAGATGAATTTCCTCTATGAATTTCTGATCAATTGGATCGCTTTCAAACGAACAAGCCATCCACAGAAGCGACTGTTTTAAAGAATAAGCCACTTATGGTAAGATGTTTTTGTCACTTCCGATAGATGACTGTAGAAAAAACGTTTCATATTTGGTCAATAGATAAAAACCTGCGGCAAAGATCACCCAGTATTCATCACTGTTTTTGGGATGCCAAAGTAAATTAGTGTTTACGAATAGATTGATTGAGTTGGTACAGTGATGTTCGACTCTGTTCTTTAGATCATAAACAGTTTGTAGTAGAAATTCTCGCAGAGTGGGTTTATTCCACATTTAAAATTTGGGTTAAAAAGTATCTGCTTTGGGAGGTAGTTTCTGAGTTTTATCGCAGTGATGCTGACTAGTCAAAGATTATTCTTACTTATAATTAAATTCGAAAATCGTCAAACCTACATTTGTGTGAGACAGGATTTTGAGTTTTATTTTCATGGAGAAAGGTCCACAGGTCTACATGGAATGCCTGCATTTGTAAAAAAATCATACAATAAAGCCAAAAAATGTTTTTATGAATTCCCAGTAAATTTATTTATTGTTCACTACATCGACTCAATGATAAATGCTAGGTGCAGGAAGAGGCAAGTCACTGGCTTGTAGATCCACAAAATAGGGTTATGTTCGGAAGTGCGCCACTTAGCTGAACATTGCAGCTTAAATGACACAAGAACTCGCAGCTACCATGCATAGTTGTCCAAATCACAGTTCGATTTATTTTCAATAGCAGCAAGGACACCGCAATGGCCGAAGAGCTAAAGACACAACTTTTCCAACACACTCAAGTTTGATTTGAATGGTGCAACTCATCCTGAGGGTAAAACATCATGTTCCGCATTGCCCTTTGTCAGCAGTACGAGGGGGCATAAAAACTGAAAACAATATTTCTTCCTGCAAAAGTAATCACACTGTCACTGCACAATACTCAAAATACAGTTTTAATGTAATAAGCGCATCACTGCTAGAAGATCAAAAGACTTGTATTGGCTAAAAATATCTCTAAAACAGACCAAGCGTTTATGGCTAATCCAGGGCAAATACGTGTGTATAAGTGGTTCCCTCAGAATTATTACGTGGGCAGACAAACACAGAAAATGCTGGAAAATTACCAGCAAAATGGTTTGGCTCAGCACTGGTCGAGTGTGACAAAGGAACTAGACAGGCACATATATGTCGTGCAATGAAATGTTACATGAAAGTAGTATCTCATTAAAATGGATATATTATACGGACAGCGAAATCTGATTCATCTTCACGCCTAATTATTATGTAGATTATGACCTCTCCTGAGGGTTTACGGCGTCCTACTGGTGGTCTAGCTATGGAAGAACTAATTGTTCACCCGAAAGTAAAAGCCTTAAGCCACTGCAGTAAGAGCAAAATGCAAGAATACAGTATGGTTTTTGTGATGATACTTTCAGTTCCGTAGCAAGTGTTGCACTGAATAAAAGGATAGAGGAGTTAGACTGAATCCGTACCGTGCGCACTGAACCGACCCTATCAGAAGAATGCATCAATTACAATTTTACATCTTTGTTTACGTAGAAGTAGTGAAAAGGCCACTTTTTCTTGGAAAATATGCATTTCATAGTGTGGCAAAAATCTTATTTCTCGTACGCTTCCACGGGTATCTTCGATAACTTAGTTCCCCAGATATGCGTCAAAATGATGAATCCAATGCATAAATACAAAAAATAAAATTAGGAGGATGTCAGAACACGCAGACAAGCTGGCGTTAAAAGGAGTCCGGAGGTTAGAAAGAAAGAAATGGAAAGAAATGGGCAAGTATCCAGAAAAAAAGGTGAAGAAACTTTCACTTTGTAGTTAATTACCGTCAAGTTGTTGACCTGCTCTAATAGCCTCAGAGGATTCAAACGCATTTCAGACCAGTATTCTCCTGAATGGCAATATATGTCCCTTAAGATACACACACACAAAGTACAACGCCGTAATGCATAAAAAAGGAACGGTAGATGAGGGGGCAGTGTCATTACAAGGGTCATCAGAGCTACGTGTGAGTGCCTATGAGCCATCCCTGTCAATTAGTAGTATTGGGAAAATATGTATTCATTGGCTGGAACATAAGCATGTTATTGATTAAGGGATTAGTAAGATGAACGAATATTTGGTTGAACCAGTTCAGTTCCTGCACTATGTGGCGTATTGATCAAATCGGGAGATTTAGTTAAAAAAACTGCACCCGTGAACATGTGGTTCGGATATCTCCTATGACAAAAACACTATAAATTAAGCTTATTAGAACAGTCAAATGTGACTACGCATAAGCCATAAATGAGACGGAAATTTAAAAACGGTACGATCCCAGGTTATTGTTATGTCCCGCAGTTGACTAGTAAAGCAAAGTAGATAACAGAAGTGCGAGTTCCAAAGATGCATGAGACGTGAGTTTAGAGTTCGGAAGGAAGTTCTTTATCCAACATGTTACGTGAGTGGTATGTTTCGCATATCGATCAGTTACCTAGAAAACCCAAGACAGTTCAGCTAAAGGAAACCTGCGACGTTTTTAATTCAGCGTCGGGTTTTGGTTGNGCATATCGATCAGTTACCTAGAAAACACAAGACCAGTTCAGCTAAGGAAACCTGCGACGTTTTTAATTCAGCGTCGTGTTTGGGATGACAAAACTTACTTTAAAGTTTCAGTTTTATCACATACAGCCCGGTAATATCCTGCGTTGGCACGCGTTATCTTGTCATTTTGCTTTCTGGATGTTAAAGCCGGTTTGAACGAAAGTAAACCATGCAAAATCAAATTAGTTTACGGAGGTGTCAGTAAATTGTACACAATTACTCAAGCCTTCTCACAATTAGCTCTAAATAAACAAAGGCTTCACACTTGTCAAGTATAGCTCGGGAAGCCTTTCCGATGGATTGATTTGTGGTCGGGTGTAATCAACCCACCGACATTCAATCAATAAATCAAATCAGTGAGCACTAGCCTATATCAATCAGTCATATCGCATTTAAAAAGGTGTTTAAATACAGAGGATAAACATTTCATCAAATGATAAAAAAGCTTTTCTGAATGTGTGAGATGATAATTTTTAAGAAGAAAGGTTGCTCCAAGCCCAACTTTAGTGGACAGTAAGGCACACTGATGAAATTTTGAATCACAGAATGTTCACTTTCAAGGCTAAAATTCTTTTGTGTGTACTAAGTGGAGTGGACTCGCCCTGGATGTTTGTTTAGAGATTTTCTGCGGAATGCACATCGCACAGAAAAATATGTTCTAGATGACGGGGACTTTGGAGATGCAACCTACATAAGATGTCTTTAATAGATTGATCTTCCTGTTCCAAACATGTCTTACTACTCAAATGTAGAAGGATTCAACTGCAGACCTTTGTTCTGGTAGTTGGACAGTTGTAATATAGTGTGTAAGTTGCTGTAGCTTTTAAAATGATGAGAGCGCCATGAGTGATTTAAGCCTCCAAATCTGAGAAGGCCAGAAACCGCAGACAATATCGTCCGAAAAAAAGATAATCGACAGGTTCTACTTTTATGCAGACTTCATGGAATCTCTCAATACGTCCATTTTCATTATAGCCTCAGAAATTTACCTTCGACCTACATTTTTTCATGGGTTTAACATTTTTTACAGCGGGAGTCGACCAGCTCTCAAAAGAAAACCATAGGAACGGGTAGTTTGTGGCCGGAAAATTTTTAATTTTGGCTACAATCAGCGGTGGCTTTTTATTTTTTAGTCTTGGATCTCGCCAAGGATTCACACGAATCGTTAATTTGCTAAACATTGGCAGAATCTCATTCGGAAGTCAGAAATGAGAGGGAATATTGGTGACTAGATAAGGGCAAAGGGCTTCTGATCGGATGGTATTTAATTAGTTCGCCGAGCTCGACATTCGGCTTCTAAACGTTTCAATTGGTATACGAGGAGGCATACGCAATGCAATTGAGAGCAGGACTACGTAATGTATGCAATGTGAGAGCAGACTTACGTCATGTTTATGAAATTTGTTCCCTGGAATACGAGAAGCTTACGCGATTTCAGGCGTTTTTCTCATCATTGGCATGCAAATTCGCAAGTTAATCGCCATTATCAATGAGCAGAACAACAGTTACGTAATCCACAGCAAATGCGTTCACCCAACCTATCAATATAGTGCAATACTGCCAGGAACTTCAGTTGTATGCTCAAAACAATCCGTCAATGGGAGATCGTCGCCTTCATACGACAACGGAAACCATTTTTAAGCCAGCTGATAAATTTGATGGACAGGTAAACAACCGCCTTATCAGTAATCAAAAGTTCAGGAGGTGTCAGCCGCTTCAAGTGTGTCCACACTGACGTCATGGAGTGAGCTGATACTTGGTTGTGAATCAAAATCAATAGCACAGAAAACAAAATTAGTCAGGGTATATTGCACGCATGTCCAATTCCGCGTGATTTTCCTTGACAGAGGATAGAAAGCCCAACGGA